GAAATATTGAACCACATAAATTCTACTGAGAAACTAATTCTTGAATTCTTCGGAACGTTTCATCCCACAAAAATCTGAAAAAGAAGTATTCTCCCGCCGAAAATCTGCTGAAAATAGCCAAAATTTCAGTTTAGGTTCCTAGTTTTAAATGCCCATGGATTTTCCCGCCAATGGCGCTCACAAAACTACTCACGCTCCTCCGCCGATGTTAGCGATCTGGACTAATCTGTGAGTCATCCTAATACGTTAGTATATATTCATCCATGCAGGTACTCTATGCCAAACCAGGCTTCACTTTTTCCCCGTGCTTTTAGATACGTGCACTCCGTCTTTATGTCTTTGGTCGAAACTAGTCGAAACGATCGCAAAGGCGGTGTACTACGTATACGCGCCAACATTGAGAAAAAGTGTTGTTGGTGCAAATAACGCGGGAATCTCCATAAGCTCAAATCTTATCGTTATTGTTAACGCTACCTGTGGGTGAATTTTAGAAACATAAGAAAAACTTCACCCATGAAACTTGTAAATGTTTCCACAAGAGCGCAGCACCATTCAGTTTATGTCTCATAAAACCAAAATTCCCACAGTTTGTTGACGTCCGTATGCGGCGAAGAAGATTTTTTATCAGGTTGAAATAATACGTGTCAACCTTTTGGTGAAACGCGTTATCTGAGGCAATTTCCTCACTCGTGAAATATAGAGGTCCCTACTCTTTCGTTTCCCAAGTTTTCATCGGTCTCTCTCCAGTTTTAACAATTTTGCACGGGTATTTTAGCGCGGCCATTGCGAAGTACCTACGAGTTTTTTTGTTGCAGTCTTGCAGACGTCTTCTACGTATAATGTCAATGGTGACGATGTATTAGTTTTCCGAAGTTTCCAGTGTAGTGTTTACTCATTTTCCTACGCCGGTGAAGTGCTCAAACACCGACGGAGTTATGGATACATTCTATCCCAAGAAATTACCGAGGATAAATCTATTAGGTCACTTATTTGTGAGTATCCAACTTTCGATGTTACCGCATGTCTTTATGTTACGTATTGTAAAATTAAGTTTCAAACTCTTCTCTTGGCATCTACCCACGTCTTAGACATTCACACTACTTCGCATTCAATTTTTTGAAAGCTCCAAATTATTTACTCAGAGTATATCTTCATTGATATCCCCTAAACTCGTAGAATCAGTATTTTAGGAGTCGTTACGACTCTTTCAACCGCGGGGCACCCAGTTGTTTTCATTTAATTGAATACAGCTAAGTGTCCAAGTGCTTGACTTTGAAATTATGCTGAACTGACCTAAAGTGCACGAATGAGACTGATTCTCCATTGTTTGTCGATCTGTCTATGCCTCTGTTTATCTCACAGACATAAAGACGGAGCGCTAAAAGCAAAAAATGAAGCTTCTCAATCACCTCCACTATTGGCTGTAGGATTGGCGGCGAAATCGGGACAAGTTTGAAATTCAAATGTAGGGCGGGAACTAAATAAAATTGCGGAAACAAAGTATTTTAGGTTGATTTTTGCCCAAATTCACTTAATCACTTATATTTGTATAACTTTAGGTTAGTTTTGGTCCGTCGTCGACCGATTAATTTCATTTGGGAGTAACTGTCATCTACGACTGTGACGGCCTGTTTGAACCGGCAGAACCACCATGAGCAGAAGAAAAACTAACTTTATCTGATATTACTGCCTGTTACCGAGCAAAAGTAAATGTATTATAGTAGGACGCAGTCCCAACTTTCTTAATATATTCGTTTTAGGCATTTAAAATACGTTTCGAAGAAGAAATGTGGAAAAAGCAAGAGGACAAGTTCAAATCAAATTTCCGTTTGCCGCCATGGATTCCCGCGCTCATTTACACACTCACACAAGCAACCAGCGCCAAACCAGGCCTCACTTTTTCCCCGTGCTTTTAGATACGAGCACTCCGTCTTTATGTCTTTGGTTTATCTCCTACGTTGACATGACCTTACTACTTCATTAGCTTTCTGAAGTTCTCAAACAAGGGTCCTTGTAAGAGAATTTTCTAATCACTTTGGTAATCTACCGTATAAACTTCATCAGTTTTTTAGTTTAAAGTACGGAATACCTAGATCGAGTTTTTTGAGATCTGAAGAGCACACCTAGACCTCAGCTAATTTTTATAGTGAGGTAAACTTTTAGTAGAGTCCCTTTATACCCAGAGTTAAGACAACTCGATTATCAGCTGACTGGCAGCCGGCCTTGGCTGGCCATGGAGGCCGAAACGAGTGCACCCAAACGAACGATATTGAGGGATAAGGATCAGGAATCCTGCGATGTCTGTCACACAAAAACAACAACATCAACAAATTGATCAATTAAAAAGAAAATGAGATTGGTTTGTGAATAATTTCTTATTCTCTTTTCATTTTGGACCGATGGAAATGACAATTTACTCTTGATAAACCACAATTAGGTGATATTTTCATTATTCTTGTTCACATTCGAGGTACCGCCATCTTGGTGCACTCGTTTCGGCCTCCATGAGCGAGAACCCATCAGAATTGGATTTTTTTTTAGGCCACTTTCAGCCGAACCAAAAGTGAGTTGTCTTAACTCTGGGTATAAAGGGACTCTAACTTTTAGATTACATGGTGCGAAAGTTGGTTGAAGAATATTGGATATGGGGCATGGATGTTTATGTGTCAAAAACAGAAGCTGTTTGTGGGAGGAGTGCATCAACGGCAAAGCATAGAGCTTGAGAATGGACGGCGCATCAAAAAGTGTGAAGAGCAAAGTATCTCGGTGTCTGGCTATATCAGGATGGAAGGATGCATAGGGCAATTAAGGTCAGGATTATCCAGGGAAGGAGAGCCAGCACAATGCTGAAAGGGGTGCTCTGGGATCAGAGCATTTCAAAGGCAAATAAGCACCTGATATATGACGCCATCGTTAAAAGTATCGTCCTCTATGGTAGTGAAGTGTGGCCTTTGACGAGTAGAACGCTAGAATTGCTGAGGGCAACTGAAATGGATTTTTAGATCTGCCAGCATTTTGTTACAGGACTGTTTCCGCAATGAGAGAATTTGCCAGGTGATGAAGGTTGAAAAATATATCGTGAACAACATCATGTCCAGGCAGTTATGCTGGTATGGACATGTGCAAAGAATGTCGGAGAAGTTGCCCAAACAAGTTTTGGATTGAGTGCCATCTGGGAAGAGGCGAAGGGGACATCCCGTAAAGAGGTGGCTGCAGGGTGTTGGCGAAGAGATGTTGCGGTGTCAGTTGCCCGATATTCTCTGGGAGGACAAGCATATGTGGCAGTTGGGTGTCGCAGAACGCCAGAGTGCGTTGTAGGAGCGACTTTATTTATACAGGGTTATTCAAAAGTTACGCACCACTGGCCATAACTTTAGTTCTAATTATGATATCGATTTGCGGTTTGTGGCGTCCTTCCTCATATCGAGGGGGAAACTTTTTGAGGTACTTTTTA